GGGGGGGGTAATTGAGCCTCCGGTAACCTCACTCACACGACGACACACAACACAACGTTGATTCACGTCAGTCTTTTGTGAGGCCGTGGTATCACTCCGGTCGAGCCAGCCCATTCATGTCGAAGCATGGCTCTCCCACACTTAAAAATAAGTTGGCCTTCCTTTTAATTGAGGTACGGTTTGTCGGTGATATGTATATCTCTGTTCTCACATATTATGCTCATTTATGCTCCCTTGTGTCAAAACTGAGGGAGGGATTATGTCCTGATCGCAGACAACCCCTCGGAGTTACGGAGAATACACCTGTGCCCTTACTAATTGTGTCGAGGTATTTATGTGTGTTTAACATATAGAGGTACAGACAAACATTAACACATAGACAGAGGTGTGCTTAAATTATTTGTCTAATATTTGTCATTAAAAAATTGTTGATATTAAAAAATAACCAAAAAACATATCCAATCTATTTCTTTTGCTACAGTCGTCGTCGAAAATATACAAATGTGGAAAATTATCCCAGAACGAGAAATCTGGGCAATCTTCGAGACGGGTAGTAAACACGGTAGTATAATTATAGTACATTACTATAGGTACGAAAATAAAAAATTGATTCAATACAAAGACAATAACCATTGGTTGACTACTGTATTGACCAATGGTTACAAAAGATATGGTTTCGTTGTCAGCAGGCGAGAAAGTGGTTAAACGTCGGCCCATGAAATGTATAAAAAAGCGTACAATTTAGTGCAATAGCTACTGTATATACATATATTTAAAATCTTTCTTTTCTAACAAGTCGCAAGTGCGACTGCCGGGCAAGGGGTTCGATTCCCGGGTCGGGCAAAGTATTACGGGGTTTTTAAAAAAAATCCCAGCACGGAGTCTGGAATTGTGCCCGGTATATGGCAATAGGCTCACCCCCTATTACATGGGACTCATAACATAAATAGTGAAAAGTGGGTGTTACATTGTACAGTGGCATAATGTACACCTCTGCCTACCCCTTCGGGGATAAAAGGCGTGATGTTATGTTATGTTATGTTCTTTTCTAACTGGCATTATAAATAATTGTGCAGACTATACCAACGTGTTTAGTGTTGACACCCAAGTCTGATCTAATTCAGCACAAACCTCAAGCCGATGGATGATAGACGTTGAATATTCATGCTCGCTTAACCGTTACAGGGTGATTAGGAATGCGACTCACATAAGCCTATGTAACAACACACTGTTACGTTTTGCTAATCACTTTGGAGTGACATTAATTATTGAGCCACTGGTTACATGAGTGGTGTTTGTTGGTTCATTGTGACAGATACCTACCAATAAATAAATGTAATTTGAATATTATTATTGAATAGTAAAATAATTGTATGTTTGTATTTTAGAAGAATAGAGCACTGTTTCGAAAAAGAAAAGGCATGTTATGTCGTTGAAATAACGTTACGTTTTCTAAGCTGGTACCGTACATATTTGAGCGCCTGATGTTATATTCAGATATATTTTTACATTCTGATATATTGCCATTACACTTTTGGAACTGGCTTACTTTTTAATACTTTCCTTGCCATGCCATATTGTATTCAATACTAAAAATGATATTCAATTTTAAGCTAGACCAAACAATTTGAGTTTTCCTTTGGCTGTAAAGTTTCTGAGTTTTAATAAAAACTTCTTTTACTTACTATTACTACGATTTCATTTCAAAAGATCCAGAAATTGGTTTCGACTTTCCAACCCTACCTTAGACCTACCTAATTGGGTGGCTCCCCGTCCGACCAGAAATAGAACCGAGCGTACGGCGCGTCGCGTTCCGCGCGCGCCTCAAAGAGCCATCAGACCACCACAGATGGGGGGCCCAATACGGCCGATGCCGATTCGGAGTCACGGAGAACCTAACGGATAACCGGGGCTCCGACTCGACGTGCAGGAGAAGGAACGGGGTGGTTTTTAGTCAGTACGAGTTTGACACTCCCTCCCGCCTCACCCAGGCGGGAGCAGTCATTCGATGATTTTCCCCCCTTAAAAAAAGACCTACTTAATACCTACTAAATGACAGTATAGATAACACAACACCTGCCTTTGTACTATATAACAAAAGTACAAACTATTTACACGAGCAGCAATAGTGAGTTCATATCCAACAGTCAACAGTCGTTAGTGCAACATTCCAGGACTTTCCAGTAAACGTGTTGATGTTGCAGTAGTGTCCTCATTTCTAATTGTTGTCACTTCTAGTGGTTTAGTTACTTTTACTATAGTTTTTAAAGTACAGCTTCATACTATGTTATAGTCTTTTTAGTATTTTAGTTCTGTAATACTTCTATGGTGTGTCCACAGAACATATAAAGAAGTTATATCTTCGTCGAAGCTATATCGAGGGTGTGTCTATGGTAGCATAATATTTATGTGGTAAGTGTGGGAGAGCCATGCTTCGGCACAAATAGGTCGACTCGACCGGAGTGATACCACGGCCTCACAGAACACTGATGTGAAACTCAGGCCACATATCCCCCCGTTCCAAATCTCAAATCCCCGAATCCCTCCACAATCCTAAAATTCCCAATTCCCAAAAGGCCGTTAACGCACTTGTAACGCCTCTGGTGTTTCAGGTATCCATATTATTCGCCATAGGTCGCTTTCTGAATCTTCGCCCGCCAATGTAGACAAGAACATTGTATATGTCCGACAACGGATGTTTTGCGCCAATTTTTCCGACAAATGATAACAGATGGCGTTGTTCTAAAATAACGATACTCGATAGTTGTGCATCTTTGTTGATTCTGCGACATATATATATATATATAAGTCTATATATATATATATAAGTCTATATATATATATATATATATATATATATATAGACTTAAAATTATAGGAGTTTTGTATTGTGCTTTGTACAGAATGTTGTTTCTTATTTAGAAAATAAACATTGTAATTTTAAGGTTGGCGTACAATGGTCTTTGAGCCCAATCACCAAGTTGCCAATTTTTTATTTCAATATTCTATAAGGTCAGTTAGGTGATCTACTTATCCTTGGTAGCTTAACAAGCATGATATTATAATTATGTAATTAATACTTAGTAAGGCATTAGTTCAACTTGGATGGATTCACGCGATGTTTTCAAGGACTGTGATAATTACATGTAATGTTAATAATTGTTCTTGCCCTGGGGTACTGAACTTTTCTATACCTATACAGACACTTCACTCTATGAAAAAGTTATAAAACTATACGAAGTACGTAGTTCCATAAC